GGCTAAAGTGACCTCGCTCAGTTCAGTCTCGAAGGGGGGAGAGATGTGACGAAGTGGGACTGTTCTTAATGTTTCCTCTGAATACTGTAGGGGTGCCTCAGTTTCCCCTATGCAGTTCTTAAGTCTCTAGGTGGTGGGATAAAGGCCAGTGTGCATAATGGCTGACAATCTGTCTCCTGCCAACAAATGGCCGGGGCCCTTCCCTCTGCAAGGGGATAGCTAAAGGTGAACAAAGAGATCAGGTGACCTCCTGGCCGGGGAAAGAGACAAAGGCCAGAAAGGAGGGGCTGGAGAGTTTCAGTTTGGAACTGGCTGGGGACGGGAAGTGAGTGCAGACGGGGTTGTCTGGCTCGCTGGGCCCCAGAATGGACCTGGCTGAGGGGTCCTGTTCTCTGTACCTACAAGCTCTGTTTTAGACCATGTTCCTGTCATCTAATAAACCTCTGTTTTACTGGCTGGCTAAGAGTCACGTCTGACTGCGAAGTGGGGGGTGCAGAACCCTTTGGCTTCCCCAGGACCCCGCCTGGGCGGACTCGCTGTGGGAAGCGCACGGAGGGGCATATGCTGAATGCTCCAGGAAGGTGAAGCTGTGTGAGCTTCTTGCCCTGAAGACAGTCTGCTCCAAGGAAAAGGAGGCTCCCCAAAGTCCTGACTGGCTTTGTGGGGAGCAGTTCCAAAGCATCGCCCGGGGACTCCATGACACCATGGCAGGGGGGCGTGGCCTGGAGCGGCACCAGGGCTGTGGGGGCTGGGATAGGGGGGCGGGGCCGTGGCGGGAGCAGGAGCCACTGGGGGTGTCCGGGCGGCACGGGCTGCTCTCCCTTCTGCCCAGGCGGCGGCCCAGGGGCAGACTGCGGCCCCGTCCCGCGTGCCTGCTCCCCACGCCCTCGGCAGCACCCACCTCGTACGGCTCCGGCTGCATCTTCCGCAGCTTCTGGGTGTAGTCCGTGAGCAGCGCGACGATGGCGTCGAAGCTCTCCGAGCTGGCCAGCCACTTCCTCTTCATCAGCTTGGGGAAGTAGGGCTGAAAGGAGAGGCCAGCCTCAGCGCCAGGGCAGAGCCGGGCACCCCCAGGGCCTCTGCGACCTCGCCCCGCCTCCGGCTCAGACAGGCCTACCTGCCCCCCAGCTAGGCCAGGCTGGGTCAGACCAATGGCCCCGCTAGCCCAGTATCCTGTTGTGACGAAGTGGGACTGTTCTTGATGTTTCCTCTGAATACTGTGTGGGTGCCTCAGTTTCCCCTATGCATTTCTTAAGTCTCTAGGTGGTGGGATAAAGGCCAGTGTGCATAAATGGCCGACACTCTGTCTCCTGGCAACTAATGGCCGGGGCCCTTCCCCCCTGCAAGGGGATAGCTAAAGGTGTTAGAGAACAAAGAGATCAGGTGACCTCCTGGCCCAGGAAAGAGACAAAGGCCAGAGAGGAGGGGCTGGAGAGTTTCAGTTTGGAGCTGGCTGGAGATGGGAAGTGAGTGCAGACGGGGTTGTCTGGCTTGCTGCCTCCCCCCCTCCCCAAAATGGATCCGGCTGAGGGGTCCCGTTCTCTGTACCTACAAGCTCTGTTTTAGACCGTGTTCCTGTCATCTAATAAACCTCTGTTTTACTGGCTGGCTAAAAGCCACGTCTGACTGTGAAGTTGGGGTGCAGGATCCTCTGGCTTCCCCAGTACCCCGCCTGGGCGGAACTCACTGTGGGAAGCGCACGGAGGGGCAGAGGATGCTGAATGCTCCAAGATCAGACCCAGAAAGGTGAAGCCGTGTAAGCTTCTTGCCCTGAAAACAGTCTGCTCCGAGAGAGGAGGCTCCCCAGAGTCCTGACTGGCTTTGTGGGGAGCAGTTCCAGAGCATCGCCCGGGGACTCCATGACACCTGGCTCTGACAGTTGCTGGTGCCAGATGCTTCAGAGGGAACGAACAGAGCAGGGCAATTATCGAGTGATCCATCCCGTCGTCCAGTTCCAGCTTCTGGCAGTCAGAGGCTAGGAACACCCACATCCAGAACATGGGGCTGGGTCCCTGCCCATCTTGGCTAATAACCACTGATGGACCGGTCCTCCGGGAGCTTTTTTAACCCAGTTATAGTTTTGGCGTTCACAACATCCCCTGGCAAGGAGTTCCACAGGTTCACTGCATTGTGCGAAGACTTACTTCCTTCTGTTTGTTGCTGCCTATTAATTTCCTGGTTCTTGTATGATGTGAATGGGTAAATAATACTTCCCTAGTCACTTTCTCCAGACCAGGCACGATTTTATAGACCTCTGTCATATCCCCCTTAGTCGTCTCTTTTCCAAGCTGAACAGTCCCCGTCTTTTAATCTCTGCTCCCGTCGAAGCTGTTCCACCCTCTTCTCTGCGCCTTTCCCAATTCTAACCTCTTGGGTTAGAGCTGGGGTGACCAGCCCCACACGCAGTCTGCCAGGTGTGGGTGTATACGGATTGATAGAGGGGCAGGATATTGACTCTCTCATTATCTATCTCAGTGGGTCTCAAACTTTTTTACTGGCGAGCCCTTTCACCCAGCAAGCCTCTGAGTGTGACCCCCCTAATAAATTAAACACACTTGTTTCTATATTTAACACCATTATAAATGCTGGAGGCAAGCGGGGTTTGGGGTGGAGGTTGACAGTTCGCGACCCCTCATGTAATAACCTCATGACCCCCCTGAGGGGTCCCGACCCCCAGTTTGAGAAACCCCTGATCTATCTGAACACTGGGTCCTCAAACAGACCAACCTTCCCCCCTCAGACAGACCCAGGCCGTGTCCCACGAGTGCCCTGGCCTGCCCCCACGTACCCGGAGCTCCTCGAAGAGCTGCTGGGCCAGGACATGGTTGCAGAGCCGGGTCACCTTGTCCAGGGCGGCGCTGGCCTGGCGCTGGGGGGCATCGCTCTCCGAGTGGCCAAACTGCGCCAGCTGCTCCACGTATTCCCTGGGGGAACGGCACCTGTCAGCAAGCCAGCCCACAATGCACTGCAGCAACGCCCCCTCCTGGCATGGGCCCCAGGCCCCCATCACCCTGGCAGGGGCCCAGATCTTGCCATGCTCTCCAGCCAGGGGGCCTTGGGTATGGCTGTGGGGCAGAGAGCCTAGCCCAGCAGGGGGACCTCAGGGGAGTCCAGCAGGGGTCCTTGGGGGCATGACTAGGGAGGGAGCCCAGTGGGGAGCTGGGGGGGACGACGACACGGGGGTACCCAGCAGGAGGCTGGGGGGGGGGGGGGGGGACGTGGGCCCCAAGGGACCCAATGCGGGGCTTGGGGGCAGGCACAGCCACACCAGGGGACGCAGGGTGCCTCCCCTGGACCCGGGCAGGGGGATGGGCTGGCTCACCCCAGCACCCAGGTCTGCCACCCCCCAGCCCTGGGCAGGCAAAAGGTATGGGGGCCCCGCACCTGAAGGGGGGGCAGCAGTTGACGAGCGCGATGGTCCTGCCCACATAGCTGTCGGTGGGGGGGCCGCTCTTGCCGGGCCCCTCGTGGAACTGCTCCACCTTGCTCTGAAAGCTGCAAAAGGGGAGAGAGGGCACGTGCTGAAGGGGTGTCCTGAGGCTCTGGGGGGATCCCCACCCCCCATACCAGGGACAGTCCGGGGGGGGGGGATCCCCGCCCCTCCCTGCCCAGGAAGGGCATCGTTGTACTGCCAGGCACATGTCCCACAGTGCTCTCTCTGACGGACCCCAGGGGAGGGACCCGCACCCCCCTCCTCCCCTCAGCTGTCACCTCCTAGGCCCCCTCCTCCCCCAGACCAAACCCCGCCCAGCATGGGGAGGGGAGAGAAACCTGAGCCAAGGGCTGTAGCCCACGGGGCTGGCTTGGCCTTCCTTGTCTTCAGCCCTAAGGCAGGAAATCTGCAGGCCTGGGAGATGCTAGCCTGGGCAGGGGGCTGGACAGACAGCCTGGCGGCTCCCCCGAGGTTTGGGGGAACGCGGCGGACGAGCCTGCTCAATGGGAGACGCCACCGCAGGGACAGGGGAGTAACGACCGTCCATCGGCCGAGCAGGGCGTGCCGGGGCGGAGCTAAACGGGCCTGGACACGGATGAATCTGTTACCCTGCAGGAGAAGGGCACCTCCCTCCTATGCTGGGGAAACGGCTGGATTTGAGCACTAGCCTATCGCTAGGAGCGGGGTCTTCAGTCATCAGCTGGGTAGCCCCCATCTGACCCTGCACCCCGCTGGGCCCATCAGAGCCATTGGCACGCCAGAGACAGGGCCGGCTGCTGCCTGTCACCGCCAGGGCCCCCAGGAAGCGCTTCGGCCCAGGGCTAGTGCTGCGGGCTGGGCCGGGGGCTTTGACCGGGTCACGTGGCTTGAAGCCCTCCTGGCTTGTTCGCCGAGTCCAGTGAAAGTCCCCCAGGCTTTGCTGTGTGCTCAGCGTGAGCGCCCTGGTCCCGCGCCCCGGGCTCTCGCCAAGAGACAGCTCCTGGGTTTGAGCCCTGCAGCGCCTGATGCTGGGGCCAGGACCTAGGGACCCTCTGACCGACTGGCAATTCACACAGTATTATTAACAGGGCCCATCGCTCCGCACAGCCCACGGGTCTCCCAGCCCGGGGGTGGGGGGGGCTGGCCACGCTGGGCGGGGGTGTGTGGCTGGGAGCCAGGGTGGCGGCGGCGGCTGGGAACCCACCCCGATTCCCCCCCACCGGGAAGCCCTTCCACCTGCTGTCCCCCCCCCCCCCTCCGCCCCCTTGCCCCCCCCCCAGAAGAGGGCCCTGGTGTAGCCTCCCCCCCCGGCGTACCTCTGCAGGAACTCGGCCAGACCAGTCAGACAGCAGAGCACTATCTGCTCCCCGAACTCCGGCGTGATCCGGGGGGCTTTGTCCACATGGGCCTTCAGCACCTGCAGGGAGAGCAGCAGGTCGCTGAGCTGCTGGGGGAGCGGGGAGCCTCCTCCCCCCCTGCCGCCGGGCGCACAGACTGGGGGGCTTTCCCCTGCAGCCCCTAGAGCCCGGAGAGGGCAGGGAGAGACAGGCAGAGCCCGCCTGTGCCCTCTGCCAGTGGGAGCCCCTGATGGCATCCCCAAGGCCGGGCACCCACAGAGGGGCCAGCAAGCGAAGAGCCCTGGGGCAGCCAGTAGGGGGCAGGTGTCCCCCCCGGGGCAGCCGTGTCTTGGCAGGGGTTGGGATCCAGGATGGGCGAGCCCGGGGATAAGCCTATAGCCCTGCCCTGACTCTAGGGGGATGGGCACATGGGCCCACTCCACACCCAGGGTCCACGGGGAGCTGGGAGAGCCAGGCTGCGGCTTGGGGAATGGGGCGGGGGGGGGGGGGGGGGGGGGGGGAAGGCTGGACCTGGCCGCCAGGGAAGGGGGGGAGGGGAGGAGCCTGGATCAAGCCCCAGGCCGGCTCAGAGGCTCCCATGGATCTCCCCCCTCAGCTGGGCCAGGGGCTGCCCCTCTGCCCTGGCACCCCTGGGCCCAACGGGCGACTCCTGGCCCCGCTCAGCCAGCATGAGAGGCTGAGGCCACCAGCGCCTGGAGGGTGAACAGCTGACTGCATGGGGGGGGGGGGTTGTGTGTGGCAGGGAAGGCCAGGCACGGTGGGAGGGGGAGTGGGGAGCCCGGGGGCCAGGCATGGCAGGGAAGGGTCCCGGGGAGCCCGGGGGTCGAGCACGGCAGGAGGGGAAGTGGGGAGCCCGGGGGCCAAGCACGGCAGGAGGGGAAGTGGGGGGCCCAGTGCAGACAGGTAGTGGTGAGGGGCTTGGCCCTGGACGCACAGAGATCACCCGGCTGGACAGCTCCAGCTGGCTGTGGTCCCGTCCAGGCTCCTGTGCCCAGCGCTGCTCCTCCTCCCGCAGCTCCCGGCTCATGTCTGCCACGATCTTGGTCTAGGTGGAAACAGAGAAGATGTCACCGGTGGGGGGAGCTCTAAGGGGGGGGCGCATGGGCTGCCCCAGCACCGCCCGCCCTTTTCCCTGGTGCCCAGCCGACCCGCCCCCCCGCTCCCCCTGCACCCTGGGGGGACTGGCAACCCCCCCCCCCCCCCCGACCAGCTCCCCCCACCTACTTATTAAAGGACTGACACCCGCAACCCCCTGGACTATTGGGGGGGGGGAATCACCCACTCCCAGCGCAGAGGCATCAAGGGGAAGAGAAGGGGGTGGGGAGGTGCCATGGGGAAGGAGTGGGGCAGGAGCGGGGTGGCGCCGCAGGGGGGCAGGGGAGGAGCCTGAGGCTGCCATGGGGAGGCAGAGTGGAGGGAGGAGGCGCCAGGCCCCGCTGTTACCTTCACTGCCGCAACGCAGGCCTCCTCCAAGCGGCGCTGGGTCTCGGGGGGCAGCAGGGGCTCTAGCTCGTGGGCGCTGAGCAGTGGGGCGATGTCCAGCCGCCCCAGCACCTCCCTGGGGGCAGAGACAGCCATGAGAGCAGGGCCCCCCCCCCGCACCCTCCCTGCATGGCCCCCTTCCCAGTGCCAGCTCACAGGACCCCAGTGCCAGGTACCGGCCCTGCCCCTCACCCCCCCCCTCCACATACCAGCCCGTCCCTGCTCCCCGCCCCCCCGCTCCAGGAGCCAGCCCCGCCCCCTCACCTGGGGTAGGTGTTGCTGTGCCAGTCCAGGAGGAAGTAGAGCTCGGCAATGGACAGGCTCCTCTGGGCGATGCTGCCCAGCAGCTGGGCCAGCCCCTCATGGTAGCTGCGGGCGTAGACGTCCAGGGCCTGGTACTCGGGGGGATACGCCGGCAGCAAGTGGCTCCTGACGGCGCGGAGGTCCTCCACCAGGCAGCGGGTCAGGCGCTCCACGTGCCCCGCCAGGGGGCCGCCACTGTCCTCCGCGCACTGGCCCAGCCGCTCGCCCACCGCCCGCTTCACCGCCTCGGCCCACCTGCGGCGCATGGCCCGGGGCCGGGGCCCCGCGCCGCCCCCCTGCGCCTCCAGCCACCGCCGGTCCGCGGCCTCCTCCTGCTCGATCACCCGCACCATCAGCTCCAGGGACGGGTAGGTGCCTCGGGCCGCCAGGGCCTCGGCCAGCATAGCCCACAGCTGCTGGAGCAGGGCCTCGTACAGCAGCGCCACGTCCTTGGCCTTACGGCTGCCGGCCCCGGGCTCGCCGCTCGGGGGGCCCTCCCGCCCGCACTCCACCTCCAGCTCAATGATGTGCTTGTCCGCCGCCAGCAGGTCCCGGTGCTGGATCAGGTTCAGGATCTCCAGCACTGCAGGCAGCGGAGCAGAGAGGTCAGCACGGACCCCGGGGGAAGGGGAGCCCAGGGCTGGGCTGGCAGGGGGCTGCGGGTCGGGAGTGAGGGGCACCGGCACAGTGTGGGGGGGTGGGGGAGCCCAGGGCTGGGGCTGGCAGGGTTGGGAGTGAGGGTCACCGGCAGAGCTGGGCGGGGGACAGAGAAAGGCTGTGGGTCAGGAGCGCTAACCCCACACACACTCCAGTTCTGGCCATTTCCCCAGCACAAACTCTGCTCGGGGGGAAGCGGAGCCGGGAGGCAGAACCCCAGCTTGGCTCTACGTTGGCCCCAGCCCTTCTGGAGAACCTGGACTCTGGGTGGGAGCCGGACATGCCCCCTGCCCCTGCCAGGGCTGCCTTCTGCCCTCGGGGTCAGCTGAAGAGCCAGCAGCCCGCGACCCCAGCCCAGGGGGGCAGGTACAACTATGCCCGGCTGGCAGGGGCACATATGGGGGATAGAGTGTCCCTGCCCCACGCTGCCTGGGAAGTGCCCACCTCTGCGCTGCCCAGTGGGGCGGGACACTCGGTCTGCCGGAGCCCGCTGGCTGCTGGATCAGCGTCCGGGGAGGCCGGCAGCAGAACAGCACCTGCCGGCCTCCCCAGACGCTCAGCTGGGCTGTGCTGGGCTGGACAGGGGACGGTCCTAAGCGTGGCCATGAGCCGCCCCGAGCCGAGCCCAGCCCCAACCCAGCCAGGGGCCGGCCACTGTGCCCTCATGGTGTCCAGCCACCTGGCCCTGGGGAACAGCACCAGGCACAGTGTTGGGGGGAGGCACAGCCCACAGCATGGCCCCTGGCTGGGGTGAGGGGCACAGTACATGGCCCAACACCTGGGCGCACAGCGCTGCCCAGCCCTTGGGACCCACGGCCAGCCCGGGCAGGCTGGTGACATGGGGTGCTGGGCCTGCGGGGGGAGCAGACAGTGCCCCCCCTTCTCCTCCCCTGCCAGGGAGGGGTGCTCGACCAGCGGAGAGTCTTTATCTGGGCATGGGGGGGGGCAGGGGGTGCTCCCAGGTGACCTCTGACTCCCTTCTGTGACCTGCAAGTGACACCCCCCATCTGCCTTCGCCCTGTGGCAGGACCTTCCAAGCAGGGAAAGGGGCACTGAGCACCATGTGGCCCTGGCAAAGCAGAACACCGGGGTCATCTCCTGCTTCCCCCCAGCCCGCCTGCTCCGGGCACATGTCTGATTCACCGGCTCCCTACCGGACCAGCTCCGGCGCCCGCCAAACCTCGCCCCCAGCGGGACAGCTCCTCCCATGGGGCGGCACACGCTGAGCTCTGCGGGACGCCCGCTCCGGGGGCACAACAGGACTTCGCTCCGCGCCCCCTCCTGGCCCCGTGCCAGGGAAGCTCCGCTGGCATTGGGACGGAAACATCCCACGTCCAGCCCTGCAGAGGGCAGCTGGGAACGTGGCCCAGGGAGACCGAGAGACGCCAGGGGGCAAAGCGGGCCTCGGCATGGGCACCAAAGGCAGGGTTCCTACGCCCAGCTCAGATTATCCATAGCACCTGACTCTCAATTTTCCAAGGGTTTTTGGAGGGGAAGCCTCAGAATGCCACCCCCCCAACCCCCCAGGTAGAGACCTGACCCGCTGCATCTGTATCGGTCCCTACCCCTCCCTCCTCAGCGCCTCCCAGCGCCTCCCAGGTGTGGGCCTCATGGTCACTGGATCTCCAGTCAGGAACCGGCTGGCTTAAACATGGGAGGGAATGTATTTGCACCTCAAAGGATCCTTAATTGGTGGGTGTTTGCTCTCCATCCACTGGGTTTGGTGCCCTGGGGTGGGACAATGAGGCCTCTCCCCGGCCGGGGGCCAGACAGGGCGGCTCCATAGGATGATAAGGGATCTGCTCAGAACTGGCTGTTCCAGGCCCTGGTGCCGTGTTATCTTCCCATTCGGCCCCCCCCCCCCATTGTTGGCTCCCCCCAGCGGAGCCCCAGGTCAGGCACCAGCCAGGGCATTGCCGGCCCCATCCCATGCAGCTGCGTCCTGTGTCACTCACAGCACCTCTGTGGTTTTAGGGGTTTTGCCAAGAACCATTAGCAACAGCAGGGCTGCCCTGTCCAGGAACCCCACTCCCAGGGACGGGGCTCACCCCATGCAGAGCGATGCCCTACACCGAGCCCAGCTGTGGGGAGAGCCCACTGTGCAGATGGGGAAACTGAGGCAGAGAGGCAAATGGACATACACAAGAGCCAGGGATAGAACCCAGGAGCCCTGGCTCCCAGCCCCCCTGCTCTAACCACTAGACCCCACTCCCCTCCCCGCTCTGGCGATAGAACCCAGGAGTTCTGGCTCCCAGCCCCCCCCCCAATCTAACCACTAGACCCCGTTCCCCTCCCAGAGCTGGGGATAGAACCCAGGAGTCCGAGCTTCCAGCCCCCCTGCTCTAACCACTAGACCCCCTCCCAGACCCAGGACTAGAACACACACACATCTTGGCTGGGAGCATGTCACGGTCGGCACCAGCGTCCAACTCTGCGAGCAGGATGCCCTGCGACTGGCCCTCACCACGGCAGCTCCTCTCAGCACCGGGGCCGGCCAGGAAGTGGGACCGACCTGTCACCCAAGGCCAGGACTCAGTCGAGGGGGGGGAGAAGAGCACGGAAAGAAGCAAGGCTGGAGGGGGCTCCCCCGTGGGCTGAGGCTCCTGGGACGGGGTAGCTGTAGGGGCTCATGGGGTGGGGGGGCAGGGGGGGCCCCAAGAGAGGGAGAGGAGGGGCTCCCCCACAGCTCCTCACAGTCCAGGGGAGGGGGCGCCCCGGCGACATGACTCGGCCCATCAGTGGCTCCGCGTCGGGCAGGCTGCCTCCCCGGGATGTATGTGGGCACACCCTCCCCCACATCCCCCCTCGTGGCAGGGCCCCCCAGCTGCAACACGGAGGGTGACCCCAGGGCCCGGTTCCCACGGCCGCGCGCCGGCTCACCTGACAGAGGCTCCTGGGCCTTGGCGACGGTCTCCACCTCCTGGGCGGCGAGCGCCGGCTCCGGGGCCTCGGCGGGGCTGGGCTTGTCCACCAGCGAGGCCCGGCGCGCCCGGCCCCCCAGGCCCAGCTTGAGGAAGCTCATTCGCTTCCCGGCGTCGGGGACACCCTCGCGCTCGGCCGGGGAGCTCTCCGGCCCGCCCTGGCTCTCCCTGCGCCGCCCGTTCAAGCGCTGCAGGAGGCCGAAGTCCTCGGAGCAGCGCCGTGCCTTCCGCTTCTCCAGGGACCCGAGGCCCAGGAAGGGGCGCCGGTCGGGCCCCTTGTCCCCGGCAGGAGCCTTCTCTTTGCCCGCCCCCTTCTTGCCCTTGCCCAGCCGGAAGGGGGACAGGCCCGCCAGCTTCTCTAGCGTCACCCGGCCCCGGTCCAGGCTGCCATTGGTGAGGTCACGTTCAAAGCCACCGTCCTCCTCCTCTGCCTCCTCCAGGAAGGGGTTCTGGTCCCCCAGGACAGAGTCCCCCGAGTTCTCCTCCAAATCCTCCTCGAAGGGGTTGGTGCTGCTCTCCTGGGCCAGGATCAGCTCCCCGGTGCTGCCCGGTGCTCTGTTGGCCGTGGCCATCTTCAATTTGTAGGGGTTCTTAAGGACCGGCATGGCCGCCGCTATCCGGGACCTGGCAACACAGGAGACAGGGTCAAGCGCCGAGTGCGGGATGCAGGGATCCCGGTGCCATGGGAGGAGGAGCAGTTAGGGACATGGAACACCCAACCGCAGCCTAGCAACATATACCGCCATTGCATGCCCTGTACCCCATCGCAGGCCCTGTACCCTGTA